AACAGCAGGCTTGAACAATACTATAGACCAAATTTACCTAATAGATGTACACAGAATATTTCATTCAACAACAGCAGAATATGCATTCTTCTCAAGAGCACACAAAACATTCTCCAGGATAAATCACATACTAGGTCACAAAACAAGTCTTAACAAATTTAACAAGATTGAAAACATTTCACATATCTTTTTCCAACCACAATGGAATGAAACTAGAAATCAAACTGGAGGAAACAGAAAAATACAAAAATACATGAAAATTAAACAGTATACTCATGAATAACCATTGGATCAAAGAAGAAATCAAAACAGAAATAAATCTTGAGACAAATGAAAATACAATGTATCAAAACTTATGGGATACAGCAAAAGCAGCGCTAAAAGGGATTGTTTATAGTAATAAACACATACATTTAAAAAAGACTAATTTCAAATAAACAATTTAACTGCACCTCAACATGTAAAGAAACTAGAAAAAGAACAATCTAAGGTCAAAGTTGGCAAAAGGGAGGAAATATTTAAAAATAGAGAAGAAATAAAGGAAATAGAAAATAGAAAAACAATAGAAAAAAACTGCTAAAACTGAGTTGAACTTTTGAAAACATAAAAATAATTAATAGAAACTTAGCTAGACTAACCACACGAAAAAAAAAAGACTCAAATAAATAAAATCAGAAATGAGGGCTTCCCTGGTGGCACAGTGGTTGAGAGTCTGCCTGCCAATGCAGGGGACACGGGTTCGTGCCCCGGTCTGGGAAGATCCCACATGCCGCGGAGCGGCTAGGCCCGTGAGCCATGGCCACTGAGCCTGCACGTCCGGAGCCTGTGCTCCGCAACGGGAGAGGCCACAGAAGTGAGAGGCCCGTGTACCGCAAAAAAAAAAAAAAAAATCAGAAATGAAAGAGGAGACATTACAACAGATGTCACAGAAATTTTAAAAAGATCAAGGCAAATTATTATAAATAATTATATGCCAACACATAGGATGACCTACCAAAGACTGAATCCAGCAGAAATAAAAAGTTTAAAAAGACCAACAGCAACATAGGAGATGGAATTAGTAATCAAAAACTTCCCAACAAAGAAAAGCCCAGGATAAGATGACTTCCCAGGTGAATTCTACCAAACAATGAAAGAAGAGTTAATACGAATTCTTCTTAAACTCTTCCAAAATATAGAAAAGCAAACACTTCCAAACTCATTCTGTGAGGCCAATATCACCCTGATACTAATGCATACCACAAGAAGACAAAACTATAGACCAATATCCCTGATATACATGTGGGCAAAAATTTTCAAATGAATACTAGCAAACGGAATTCAACACCACTAAACATACAGGATCATACACTATAACCAAGTGGGATTTATCCCTAGGGTGCAAAGATGATTCAATATACACAAAACAGTCAATGTGATATGCCACATTAACAGAATGAGGGGTAAAAATCAGATAATCATCTTGATAGATACAGAAAGGACATTTGAAAAAATTCAACACACTTTTATGATAAAAAAATTTCTCAGCAAATTAGGTATAGAAGGAACTTATCTCAACAAAATAAAGGTCATTTATAATAAGCTTACAGCTAAATTATACTCAATGGTGAGAAACCGAAGGCTTTTCCTTTAAGATCTAGAACCATAGAATTATACCCACTCTCACCACTTCTATTCAACATAGTACTAGAATAACTAACCAGAGCAATTAGATGAGAAAAAGAAATAAAAATATCCAAATTGGAAAGAAGTAAAATTATTTCTGTTTGCACGTGGCATGATCTTATATACAGAAAACCCTAAAGAATTCCACCAAAAAATACTGCTAGAATAAACAAATTCAGTAAAGTTGTATTATACAAAATCAATATAGAAAATCCAATTGCATTTCTATACACTAAGAGCAAAATATCTGATGAAAGAAATTCAAGTAGACACTAATAAATGGAAAGTTATTCTCTGTGCATGCATTGGAATTACCATCTAATATAGGAATCTCACTTTTTGTTATATATCCAAAGGAACTGAAACCAGGATTTTGAAGAGATATATGAACTCCCTTGATCATTTCATTATTATTCACAATAGCCAAGATATGGAAACAATCTAAGTGCCTATATGTGGATGAATGTATAAAGAAAAGAGAGTATGTACATATGATAGAATATTAATCAGCTTTAACAAAGAAGGAAATCCTGTCATTCACAACAATGTGGATAATCTTGGAGGACATTATGCTAAATGAAATAAGCCAGAAACAGAAGGACAAGTACTACTTTATACTACTTAGATTTGGAATCTAAAATAGTCAACTCAGAAGCAGAGAGTAGAATAATTGTTCCCAGGAGCTACAGGTGGGGGTGAATGGGGAAGCATTAGTTAAAGGATACAAAGTTTCAATTATATGAATAAGTACTAGAGATCCACTGCACACTATAACGCCTATAGTTAACAATACATATTATACACTTGAAAATTTCTCAGAGGGTAAATCTTATGTTAAATGTTCTTACCACAGAACAATGACAGTAATAATAAAGAGATCATGAGGAAACTTTTGGAGATAATGGTTTGTCTAGGTCACATATTGTGGTTATGGTTCTACAGATGAATATTTCTCTCTAAACTCATCAAGTTGTATACATTGAATATGAACAGCTTTCATATATATAAATGAAACCTTACTAATGTGGTTTAAACAAATATAAAGAAGTGTTTCCAAAAGAATAACCTCCACAAAGCTCAGAGAATGATTTGCACATATACTGACAGCTTTAGTGCAAATCAAATTGTTTCTTCATCTTTATGAACACTGAGCTATTATCCTTTCATTGAAAACTACTGCTTAAGCACACTAAAATATCAGACTATAGGGTGTGGGGACAGGAACTGCAACTGACTGAAACCAAGTGGAACAGTTTCAAATTATTATGTACTGGCTCTGAAAACAAAGGTCTATGGCTGAAAGTGGTAATGTGTGGGAGAGGCTTATAACTGCGGATTCTCTAAATCAGTTTTCATGTAAATTATAATATTTATTAAGGAATAAGTAAAATGTATAAATATAACCTGCCTGTATATTACTAAAATCAACATTACTGACAACAATCATTTAGAAATTAGGACAGCAAAAGGTTTTTGCAGGTGATAGTGTTTTATCACTGACAATAATCTGTTTAGATTTATCAGTAGTGCTGATAACAAAAAGTAGACTAGTGTTATTTGGTTTTATTATTGTTTTTACATGCAGACAATGCATCCCCTTCATTTCTGCACCCAGAGCAGTACTACTCCCATTATAGGACCTTTGCCCCATTACCTTGCCTTTATTATGCCACTGAGTAGAAGGGTGACTCAAATCCAGGCCCTATCATTTACAACAGTATGACTGTAGGAGAGATATTACCTAACTTCCTGTAAGTGGGGAACTTTTTTCTCATATGATTAGTGTGAGAACTAAGTTAATACATACATACACATATATATGAATATAAATATTCATTTGAGTATTTATATACTTGAGAAGATATGTCTATTCACACATGAATATTTATATACAAATATGCCATCTGTTGTCTGTGGTATACACACACACACACACACACACACACACACACACACAGATAATTTGGACTATTTTACCAAACCATACATTGTAATTCTAATTCATAATCATTCTCATACTGATATCTTGTTTTATTTAATTATTTTTTTCTATATGAAATTATATAATTACAATATTATGTCTATACCATTATGATATATTAATCATTATATCACATATATAATTATTTTCTCTTGCTCTTTATAGCATATGCACATGAAATCAATCCTTAGCAGTCCTTATCTGTCTTTTTACTGTTTAGAATGATGTTTGACAAATAGCACAAAAGTACAAACTCAAATATTTCTTGAATTAAACAGTGCACATATATATGTAGAGAGAGAGAGACAAAGAGATAGCAAGAGAGAGACAGAGAATGATACAATTATATAAACACCTGGGCCAATAGCTATGCCATTTGTTGGTTAGCATTAGAAGAGGGCCAGGTTTTAGGGAAGAGTGAGAGTTTTGTTTTGAACCTGGTTTAAGTATTACTAAGGACAGGATTAAGAAGATATCAGTGATAGAGGGATAAAACTAGACATGAGTGCTGACACATTATTTAAAGAGAAAGAAATTTTAAGGAAATAAGACATCAACTGTGCAACAAGATGATGAGAATTCTAGTTAGAAAACTTTCCATTTGGTTTAGCAACATGGAGATATTAGCAACAGTAGTGATGATGGATTTGTAAGGGTGGAAGCCAGTTGAGAAAGGGTAAAAGAGTAACTGATAGATTAGGAAGTAGAAGTTGTTTGTAGAAAACATTTTCGAGAATACTAATAGAGAGCCAATCAATATGGCCATGGCTGGAGAAAGATTTTTTATAATGATGCTTTTAATAAAAAAGAGCTACACTGGTCAGTAAGGTAGAAACTGTTCACAGTGCCTATTGAGAACTGGAAAAATTGAGATGTGCCATAAATGTAAAACACATACCAGATTTTGCAGACTTGGTAAGAAGAAAATAAAGTAGATTGTTTCTTACACATATCTTCAGTGCATATCAAGGTGATAATATTTTTAATATGTTGAATTAAATAAAATATATTATGAAAATTCGTTTTTCATGTTTGTTTTTACTTTTTAATGTAGTTATATATGTGGCTTGCATGATATCTCTATTGGACAGGGCTGATGTATAATATATTTGAACGCCTAACTCAGTTGAAGGAGAAAGAAGAAAGGAAGAGGAAAATATTCTCTCAAATTCTCAAGACAAAGAGAAGATGAGATTGTGAACAAGGTAGACTGGATTTGATCTTTTTTTTTTTTTTTTTTTTTGCGGTACGCGGGCCTCTCACTGTTGTGGCCTCTCCCGTTGCGGAGCACAGGCTCCGGACGTGCAGGCTCAGCAGCCATGGCTCACGGGCCCAGCCACTCCGCGACAGGTGGGATCTTCCCGGACCGGGGCACGAACCTGTGTCCCCTGCATCGGCAGGCGGACTCTCAACCACTGCACCACCAGGGAAGCCCTGGATTTGATCTTTGAGAGAAGGTAGGGAATGCATATAGATACAGGAAGGCTTCTTGAATTATTGGGGGAAATTCAAAGGTTTATGTATGCTTCCTGTGTGTGATATTTGTGCCAGTGTTTCAGTAGATTGCTTTAATGTGGTTTGGATCCAAGATGCAAGCTGTAGTGGACATATACTAGGGTGGCCCCTCATGATTCCCATGCCTTAGTATTCACGCCTTTTATAATTTCCTTTAGGTGTGGGTGGGATCTGTGACTTGCTTCTAGCTAACAGAGTATGATGACAAAGTTGAGATTTTGCCAATGTAATTAAGATCGCCAATAAGTTCTGTTAGAATTAATCAGATGAACACCCTTAAAAGAAGCGCTGGGACCTCCTTGAGGTGAGATATTGCCCTTGCTGGCTTGATGAAGTAGGCTGTCATGCGGAGGATGCCCACTTGCCAAAGAACTGTGGATGGCCTCTAGGAACGTTAAGCATCTTCTAAGACTTAAGAGTGGCCTCCAGCCTAGGACTAGCAGAAAGCCAATGCCCTCAGTTACACAGTCACAAGAAAACGACTCTTACCAACGTGAATGATCTTGGAAGTGGATTCTTCCCTAGTTGAGCCTCCAGATGAGGATGTTATCTGGCTAATAACCTGATGGTAACCTTTTGAAACCCTGAACAGAGTAGCCAGGGAAGCCATGTTTGGACTCCTGACCCACAAATACTGAGAGATAATAAATGCAGATTGTTTAAAATCACCAGGTTGGTGCTCATGTGTAACACAGCAACAGAAAAATAATAAAAAGGCTTCTTCAATTAAACAGTTTGAATGGTGCGCATCAGAGTTCTACAGACCTGAGTTCTAGTCTGAGATGTAGTGTTTAAATATTTTTTAATCTATGCACTTCCCTGTTTTAGATCACTTTCTTCTTCTGCAAAACAAAAACAAAACATTCTGGCCTAAATTAAATCTTTATGATTATCTCCAAATCCAACATTCTATTATTGTTCAATTGGTAAATATTCAGAGAATAATTCTCAATGGTCATTTTCTACAACTTTCAGAGCCATATTAAAACTTGGCACTTAAACTTTTCTGCAACTTTATACCATCCACAGACATTGGCAACAGACATATAATGTACAAAACAGTGTGCACCAAAAGAATAAATATATAATTAATATGATAAAAATGTCATACAAATCCATTATTTAATTTGTATTTGGAAGTTTGCCAACAATGACTTCTGAAGATCTTTTTGGAAAGAAAAATCTACTGGTGTTTTATATTAATCTTAGATTTTTAAGTGCTTAAAAGCTTGAGTTTTCTTTAAAGTAAATAATACCTAACCATGAAAATGGAATATTATAGTAGGCATACAACAACATTTTCAATACAAGAAACAACTATTTGTGCCTCTCTAAAATTACCCAGCCAAACCTGTGTCACCTGGTAAAAATAAAAAACTGCTTCTCAGTCCTAGAAGTTGAGTCTGATTATGAAGAGACTCAGCTACTTTCTTCCCTTCTTATAAATGTGTCAAATTACAGATGAGCTTACATTTTAATAGCAAACTTATGGGAGGGTCTTAGAGTAAAATGTACACACACACTTCATAAAAGCAACTGGCAGATTTTGAAAATGAATGATGGTAAATAATAAACTCAAGATAGCAAGTATCTTGTAGGGTGGTACCGAGCACTATATTTATTCCTGTCAGAGTTAATATTTCCATTGATGATCTATAAAAATAAGTAAAGCATCCCACTAACCATATTTTCACGTGAAATTACATTGAAGGAACGCGTGGAGGGAAGAGAAACAGTGCAAAACAAATAGACTGTGACAAGATCATAGCAAACCCCTCTAGTTGTTGACAGTGTGAAACTTCAATCTAAGGGTTCTTCACACAAATCAGAGTAGAAATGAATGCCAGTGGGGTCAGCGATGATTTCATTATTTGGAGCTGAGATACGGAAAGGCATGTGAGAAAGAAATATTGGAATGTGTCAAAAGATGATTCATTATTGTACAAAAATTTAACACAAATATATTCAGGAAGAAATAGAAAGGAAACACAACAGTATGTTTTCTAACTTGAAAATGAACTGTAAAATTTGAAACAGTAGATCTGCAGAAATTAAATGGCCTAACATATGAATTTGTTTGGGTGGGAAAAAGAACCATGAGGCCTGAATTAGTCACAAAATCACTCCGTATGTCATCTGTTATATATAAACTAAAATAACAACATCATTTTTACATTGTGAATGAGGAACTGTTTCTGATAAGTGTAAAGCACATTTGGCACAAAGTTGGGTTCTTCTGGAAATAGGGTCTTTCTTGTGTTTATTCCTATACTTGAAAGCAAACATTGTACTTTCTTTTTCTTTGGGAAGTTAATATTTGTGATACATAGTTTCTTCTATCCTTCCCAGATATTTATAAAATAAAATTATACAACAGCATTTGCCCTCTTTCCAACAACATTACTCTACGAAACAATAACTTTTCAGGTACCGTTCATGAATGAATGGTTGCCTTCAGGAATTAGAAAAAGAGATACTTGGAATGAGGTGAACTCCATATTTTCCCAGCTATGCTTCCTAGGGTAAGTAGCTAAATTTCTCTGAACTTCTGTTTCCACAACAAGAAAATGGAAACTCAAATAAGTTAATTTTATCTGCAAAAGTACTGAATGCATATAAATGATATGTATATAAAATGTTATGGCAACTACATTTCATCCTATCCAGGCAAAAAATACATAAAGTGCTAGCCATCAATGGCTGGGCTGACAATTACTATCTCTATATCCAATGCATTTCCTTTTTTCATAAGCTGCTTCCATCTGCCTTCTATTGATTGTGTGAGCAAGTTGATTGTTTCCTCATACTCTCCCCTGCTCTTCCTCCATGCATCTAAAAGTTGTAGAACAACATGAGAGCCAAGAAAGCAGTTATAGAATTTCCCCCTTGAGCAAAGGTTTTTAAAGTTAAAATCTTAAAAATTGAAAGCAAATTAAAATCATAAAGATGAAAACATAAAACACCAATGACATCACATTCTTTCTTTAGACTTACTGTAGAAACACACAATCCAAACTTTCCTGTTTTGCAATAATCATCAAAATTGGAATTCAAAACAGGACATGTGAAGCAAGTTTTGTGAAACTATTATGTATTATTCCTATCATATTATCATATCAAACTTCTGTCAAAGTTTCTGATCATAGGTACAAGAAGAGATGGGGGAAAGGGAGATAAATGTTCTACTTCTTTTCTTCTACCCTTTAAGATTTAAATCACTTTAAGGTAAAGAAATAAAAGTTGTCTAAAGTGGCTTATACACAGTGATGAAACCAGACTAATTCTAATATATCCATGCATTTGAATCTTTTGCAGAGGGTTCATTAATCTTATATCTCTCTCATCTTTCTTTCTTATAATAGTATTTTTGACTAATATCTGTTCATGATTTACTCACTAACTGAATGTAGACATTGACATCTTTGAGACAAACAATCCTAGGCTGGTTGATTTAGTTACTTATTTGGCAATTATTTAATATTCCTAAACAGTTGTTCGCTTGTTAACAAAATGAAGATATTAATAGCTTTCAGTTTTAGATAAGCCAATTAAAGGTACAGGGTCTGATGAGCGGCATTGGAAAAAAACATTTTCATAGCCTTTTCTATTTAACTACATCAAATAAACCGATATAGTTAGAAACTGATCAAATAAACCTATAAAATCTAACCTTCAAAACAATGACTTATTTATTAGGAAGCAGTAGACGATGGGAGAGTACTGAGCCCCAGTCTTAACACTGGGCAGAATGGCCTACTGGTTGAGTGATAGTGTGACACCTAACTTCATTCCTTATCTTCCAACAAATAGGCATTAAAAATAAGTGGCCCCAAGGTAACCAAGCCATAGTCCAAGCAAAAGCACTGAACTTATCACCCGACACATAATTCATAAAGGAATACATCTACTCTAAGAGAATATGTCCACAGTTTGAGATTATCTAATAAGAGAAAAGTGGAAATTAGGAGATATTGGAAAATCATACATATTTTTTGCCTTGTCCACTGTTTTTCTTTCCTTGATAGAATCCAATGTTATTCTGAATATCTATTAAATAATTAGGTATTTTTATAAGGGTTGAACAACAACAACAAAAACTGCACTTGAAAATGAGAATAAAACTTTTGTTATCGTGTAAAGATAGCCATACTAGTAATATAAAGAGCAGGAACCAATAAGAAACTATTTATAAGGTAGTACAACCTTGAGCACTGGCACTTTGGCTTTTCATTATTTTCCTAAGGTGACCCACTTGGACCAACCTTAAGAATTGTACCCTCATAAAATAGATATTACCTTGATTACTATGCATGGAATGTCAATACTCATACTCCCACTTGCTATTTGTAAAGGGATAATAATCAAAACATATTTATTCTGAAGCTATAAAGAAGCATAAAGCTGGAATGCATGGTAAGGTCATTTTGTCTATTTTCTTTTTTTATGTGATTGCAATGAAAATAAATGACTAAAACTCTCCGTTTGAAAAACTTTAGAGCATATTTTTCACCTTTTTAAAGTAATGTCAAAACAATACCGCAGGAAAAAAATGTAAGCTTAAAAACATTTTTATGGTATGTGTGTTATAATTTGACTCATTTTTTCCCCATTGTTCTTAAAAAGAAGTTTTAATAATCTTCCAAAATTATTTTCCATTTTTAATACCCCCAAGTCCTACATATGCCATGTGAAAGAATTTCAATCTAAAATGGAACCAGAGAATATAAAATGGAAAATCTTCTACATGTGTCCTCAGGAAAACAAAACTTAAGAACTGAGGTACTGATTTCCCGTAAATGTCTGATTTACAGAAAACTGATAGTATTGGAATGTTCTTAAATGATAGGAAGTTGGTCAGGGAACCTTGGGAAATTTTGCTTATGGTTTCCAGAGGCATGAACAAGAAATGACTCTGGGTGAGTTGGTCTCGTAAATTAAGCTGAACTGAGCTCTGTTTGTGGACTGGGCTGGTTTTGTCTCCTCAGAAATGGTCTCCATTTGTTTTTTTATTTTAGCAGACTCTAACTGAACTCTCACTTCTTTATATTCCCTGTCCACAAATACAGCATATCCCAAATCCTCAATGACTCATCTGCAGCTTGCTACAGTTTATGTGTTCTGAACTGCAATTCTTCTGCTATTCCTAAATGAAACTCAGCTTTTTGATAATTTTGAGCTTGCCTCATTTTATCTTTTTCTTTAGGTAGACATTCCTTGGCACTGGAAGTGGGATCCAAAGGAGATGACCCCCAAAGGACAATGACCCTTGGAATTGTGTGAAGTACCCACACAAAAGCCCTTGAGCTCATCGCTTCTGTGAGTCATTGTCTACTTTTGGCTTGGTGATTCTCCTCTTAGATTCTGGTCTCCCTCCATTCGGTTGAGCTTTCTGACTTTGTTAAGGGTCTGTTTAAAGGTTTTATCCTTTTTGGTGAGTCATTGTTTGTTTTCTTGTAGGAAACATGCTAGAATTTCAGTGTAATTCCTTTGGAATGCTAGAGAGCAAAAATTAAAAATTCTGTCAGTGGGCACAGGTTGAGCAAGTAAATGCTGTTAGAGTGCTAGCCACCTCCCTTTAGAGACTTTGGTCTCTAAGGCAAAGACTTATGTGAGAGCACAAATTGGTCACAGACACTGGTTACAAATGTCAGGCCAGACTGACATTAGGTCATCTGCCAACTGCAAGACAATTTACATGTAACAAGGGACAACTGGTCACAGGTCTAACAACTAGGGCAAACGCTGTCTTCCAGGAGAAAAAAAGAGAAAGTATGTATCCCATGAAAGGCACACTGTAAAACAAAACATAACTCCCAATCCTGAGCACACCCATTAGGCTATTTAGGAATTCTGCTTTTGCTCTCAAGAAAACCTCTGAGATATGAGATTCCAGTCATCCCAGTGCTCTTCAGGGATCCTAACTGATTTTATGTTAAAAAATTATGGTCTCTCCTCATACGCATTTTTGACTAGATGGTCCAGTCTTACTAAAGATAACGTAGAACTCCAATGGCTGTTATGAAGAACTTTCAGTCTGCCCGAACATGATTTTCTCCAGACTAGAAAGACTGCGGCAATAGAATTAAACAATCTGAGTGGGATAACTATTTTAGTTGGTATCTAGAGGCTTCTAAATATATTCAGGATTTTAAAATTACCTCTTTGTAAAATATTATTTCTAAGTTAACTGAAAGAAATAAACAAAGGAGATAAACAGGCAGCTAAGGCCTCTTCCTTGGTGACATGAGCCAAGGTTCCCCTAAACCCATTATTCTCCCCTCTCTATATCCACCTTTGCCTTCTTCAAACCCCCTTTCTTTCTCTAGATTCCCTTCTTCTCTAGTGAGTAAACTTTACCAACTGAGCCAATTAAAACTTTCCCTTTTAAAATTAGGTCTTCTGGGGACTTCCCTGGTGGTCCAGTGGTAAAGAATCCACCTTACAATGCAGGGGATGTGGGTTCGATCCCCGGTCAGGGAACTAGATCCCACATGCCATGTGGCAACTAAGCCCGTGTGCCACAGCTACTGAGCTCTCACACCTCAACTAGAGAGCCTGTGTGCTGCTAACTACAGAGCCTATGTGCTCTGGAGCCCATGCATCACAACTACAGAGCCCACGTGCCCTGGAGCCTGCATGCCGCAACTAGAGAGAGAAAACCCACGTGCCGCAACTAGAGAGAAGCCTGCATGCTACAACAAAAGATTCCGCATGACTCAACGAAGATCCTGCGTGCTGCAACTAAAGACCTGATGCAGCCAAAAATAAATAGAAATAAATAAATAATAAATAAATCTTAAAAAAATTAAGTCTCCTGAGGATCCTGTTAAACCATTAATTAATTTTGTTCCACGGACCAAAGCGGAACTTGGAGCTATACTAAACTATTTTCCCAAGGTAACCGGGGATCCTCATAGATTTGCCAAATCAGTATTATAATTCAAACTTAACCTGATTTCTCCGATCTTTATCAGTTAATCCACATGCTTATTGGAGGAGGTCAAGCCCAGCATTGAATGAAAACTGTTTATTGGGAAAGCCCCAAACAATCTTTGAAATTCCAAGTCAGTCAGACAATAGCTCTTTTATATGACCAAGCTCCTGCCATACCCCAAGGCTACATCTTGCCATCCTGAGGGCTTTCCATAAGCCAGTACATGGGAACAAAATTAACACATGCACCCAAAAGCCTGTTGAATCTATTCATGATTACTACAGCAGAATCCAAATGTTTTTAAAGAAAATATGGACTCCCTATATACATTGCATCTAGCAGGGTGGCCTTTATTTCAATGTTTTAGTTAAAACAGAGATCTATCTCTGTTAGTCAAGAGAACCCACACAAAATGAAAAATAATGTCCACCCTGAACTTGTCAATGTAGCTAACCAGTTAACCCACACCCCAGAAGATGATTCCAGAAAAAGGGCAACTAAAATTTTACATCTCCGACTTCAACAGATGGAATCTCCCAAGCAGACTCTTCCTAACTGATTTTGTCATTATGGTTAAAAAAAAAAAAAAACATAAAACAAAACATGGCCATTGGAAGAGAGACTGCCACAAATTTTTTTTAAAGTCTAGACAATTACAGCTTTCCAAGACCCAAGGGTCAAACTCATCCCAGTGATGGGATGAGTTTTCCAAGACCCAAGGGTCAAACTCATCCCAGTGATGGGACTCCAAAGAAGCCCATAGACTGTTCCCATTCTACCATTAAATAGACTGGGGAAACTACTCTCCAGATCCGGTAAAAATCCCTTACATATCAATTGACACAGGAGCTACTCTATCAGTTCTCAACCCTACTACAAATAAACAGTCCCTTCAAATAGTGGGGAGTTCAAATTAACCACAATGTGTCTTTATTTCTCAATCTATACCCTTTTGTTTGGGACCTTTGAAAGATAAACACCTGTTTTTCCTCAGTGATTAGGCTCCTGTTCATTTATTAGGATGAGATTTCCGAGAAAAATATCATGCTGCCGTTTCTTTCTCTTGAAAGAGAGAAATAAATCTTGTTAAAATCTCTTGAATTTAAGTCCCTTGAATCTAAGCCCCAAGAAAATCCAAACCTTTTCTCTCTCACATATACTTTACAAGCCATAGAAGAACAAATTTCAGGTACCTCTCTGTTATTAAATTTAGTGTCTCCTAGTCTATGAGCAAAATCTTCCACAGACATAGACAGAATTCATATTGCTTTTCACTATGTTAAGATCCAAGTCAATCCCTCAAAACCTCTCTCCAAAATTAATCAATACCGTATAAACAAAGAAGCTTTACAGGGCATAAGACTTATCATAGATAACTATAAAGCACAGGAACTTATTATCCTTTGCAGTAGTCCTTGTAAAACCCGTTTTACCTATAAGAAAACGTAATGGTCAAGAATAAAGATTTGTTCAAGATCTCCATGCAATACACAACATTGTTATTCCTCACCATCCTGTTGCTCCTTATCCCCATACATTATTAGCATTATTCCCTACTGAAAGCAAATTTTTCATCGTGATCAATTTATGCAAGGCATTGTTCAGTATTCTAGTTGATGAGGCTGGCCAATATATTCTTGCTTTTACCTTGGAAGGACAATATATCTGGACAGAAATGGCCCACCGTTTTTCTAAAGGTCCTTCTTACTTCTCACAAAATTTAAATGCTGACCTCGATGATACAAAAATTTCTGGAGGCTCTACTATACTACAGTATGTAGATGATTTACTTCTCTACTCACCCTCTCAAGCCTCCTCACAAGAAGACAGATTTCACCATTACAGCTCTATCCAATATTTAGGATATTTAATATCAGAACAAGGATAACACCTAGATGCTGATAGGTTTCATGGCATCTTGAGCTTCCCAAAATCTAAAACCAAATGTCAATTATGAGGTTTTCTTGGGCTAGCTGGTTATTGTCACAATTGGATTCCAAACTTCTCTTTAATGGCCCAGGCTTGTATATCTTACTAAAAACTATTAAACCTGACCCTGTTATCTGGCAAAACCAAGATGATCTAGCCTTTAAAATCTTAAAGGAAAGCTTAATAAATCCTCTTGCCCTTGGATATACAAACTATAAACTACCCTTTTTTCCTTTTTGTTTATGAAAAAGAGGGTAATACCCTCAGAGTACTTACTCAAAACATGGGGGCTACCACAACATCTAGGCTATTACAACCAACAATTAGATCCCACGACCCAACGTTATGCTTATGCCTTAGGGCTACACCTGCTACTGCCTTTCTGGTAAAGGCCACTAAGGAAATAGTCTTAAGGTCCTCTTTGACCATCTTTGTACCTCATGCTGTCAAAGCTCTCTTGAACTCATATCATTCCCAACATTTTTCAGCTAGCTGTCTTACTTCTCATGAAATTCTCTTGCAGGACCGGCAAGATGACAGAGGAGTAAGATGTGGAAATTACCTTCCTCCCCACAAATACATTAAGAATACATCTACATGTGGAACAGCACCTACAGAACAACTACTGAATGCTGATAGGGGACCTCAGACTTCCAAAAAGGCAAGAAAATCCCCACGTAACTGGTAGGGCAGAAGAAAAAAAGAAAGAGGAAAGGAATTGGGATGGGACCTGCCCCTCTGGGAGGGAGCTGTGAAGGAGCAAAAGTTTCCACACACTAGGAAGACCATTCACTGGCGGGGACTGCGGGGTAGTTCTGGAACCTCAGAGGAGAGCGCAGCAACAGAGGTGCAGAGGCAGAGCAGAGAGATTCCCACACGGAGGATTGATGTAGACTGGCACTCACCAGCCTGAGATGCTTGTCTGCTCACTTGCTGGGGCGGGTGGAGGCTGGGTGCTGAGGCTTGGTCTTCAGAGGTCAGAACCCAGGGAGAGGACTGGGGTTTACTGCATGAGGACAGCCGGGGGCCGGCTAGTGTGCCAGAGGTAGTTGGCAGGGAGTCTGGGAAAAAGCCCGGGCCTGCCAGAGAGGCAAGAGACCTTTGTTGCGGGGTGCTTGAGGAGTGGCCCGCCATAGGACCTTCCTGCTTCACACACTCACAGACAGCAGGGCAACACCCACATGAGCACAAGCACAAGCCATGGCTGTTATATCTGACCCCAGAGGCTGCTGTCCACCACTGCTACCAAGAGTCCTGTGTGCAAGGCAGGTCACTGCCCACACCTTCCCAGCAGCCTGTGGAGCCCACCACTGCCAAGGGTCCTGCAATTGGGGCCAACTTCCCCAGGAGAATGCACAGCACACCTCAGGCTCCTGCAGCTTCACGCTGGCCTCTGCCACAGAAGACACTCCCTGCACATTCCGATTGTGACTGCCATATCCCTCCCTCTTCCCAGCCTGAGTGAGCAAGTGAGCCCTAATCAGTTGCTGCTTTCACACCCTTTTGCCTGTGCAGGGAACAGATGTCTGAGGGCGGCCCACTCCCAGAGGTAGGGCTAAAACCAAAGCTAAACCCCAGGGGCTGTGCAACCAAAGAAGAGAAAGGGAAATCTCCCTGTGCAGCTGCAGAAGCAGTGGATTAAATCCCTGCAATGGCTTGGCAAGCCCTGCATCTGTAGAATACCTGAATAGACAACAAGTTTTCCCACAATTGAGGCTGTGGGCTTTGGGGGCAAGTACATGTGGGAGTAAGGTCAGATCAGTCTGAGCTGGCCCCACAGTGGCCACAGCAGGTCCAGAGACCTACCTAGAAGTATTGGAGGACTTCCTGTGGAGGCAGGGATTGGCTGTGGCTCACTATGTGGGCAAGGACACTGACAGCTAAGGCCACAGGAAAATATCACTACTTTTTTTGTTGTTGTTCTTTTTGTATTATTCTTTTAATTTTAATTTTTTATTTACTTTTTCTTTTTTATGCTTTTACTTTTAGTATATTTTTATTCTATTTATTTTTTTCCTATTTCTATTGTAATTTTTCATTACACTGTTTTTTCCTTGTTTGTTTTTTCCTTTGTTTTGCTTTGTTTTCATTTTATTTTTAACTATATTTTACATTTTTCTATTTTTACTTTATTACTTTGTTATATATTTTTTCCTTTTGTTTTCATCTTTGCATTTTTTTGAGTTTTGTGGGTTAGTTTTATGCTTTTATTGCCTTTTTTTATTTTGCTTTCTGCATTTGATGTGTTTCTGGTTTTATGTTTTTTGTAGATTTTAGTGTTTGTTTTCATTTTTGGGTTTATTGATTTGGTTGCTCTCTTCTTTGTTTTTGCTTTTTCTTTTCTTTTTGTGAGTGTGTGTGTGTATGTTTCTTTGTGTAATTTGTCTGTTTAGTTTTGCTTTTACCACTTGTCTTGGGGTTTTGTCTGTTCGTGTTTTTTTGTTGTTTGTTTGTTTTCTCTGGTTTCTGGGTTTTTTTGTTTGTTTGTTTTCTTCTTCCTTTTCTTCCACACCGTGTGGCTTGTAGGGTCTTGGTGCTCCAGCTGGGGGTCAGGCCTGAGCCTCCAAGGAGGGAGAGCTGAGTCCAGGATTTTGGACCACCAGAGAACTCCCAGCCCCATGGAATATTAATCGGTGAGAGCTTGCCCAGAGGTCTCCATCTTAACACAAAGACCTGGCTCCACCCAATGGCCAGCAAGCTCCAGTGCTGGATGCCTCATGACAAACAGCTAGCAAGACAGGAACACAACGCCACCCATTAGCAGACAGGCTGCCTAAAGTAATACTAAGCTCACAGACACCATAAAACACACCACCGGAAGCAGCCCTGCCCATCAGAAGAACAAGATCTACCTCCACCCACAGAATGCAGGCACCAGTCCCCCCAACCAGGAAGCCTACACAAGCCAGAGGGGACAGACAACAGAAGTAAAAGGAACTACGACCCTGCAGCCTGCAGAAAGGAGACCCCAAACACAGTAAATTAAACAAAATGAGAAGACAGAGAAATATGCAGCAGATGAAAGAGCAAGGTAAAAACCCACCAGACCAAAAAAATGAAGAGGAGATCTACCTGAAAAGAGTCTACCTGAAAAAGAATCCAGAGTAATGATAATAAAGATGATCCAAAATCTCGGAAAGAGAATGGAGAAAATACAAGAGACATTTAACAAGGACCTAGAAAATCTAAAGAACAAACAAACACTGTTGAACAACACAATAAATGAAATTAAAAATTTTCTAGAAGGAATCAATAGGAGACTAACTGAGGCAGAAGAACAGATAAGTGAGCTGAAGGATAGAATGGTGGAAATAACTGCTGTGAAGCTGAACAAAGAAAAAAGAATGAAAAGAACTGAGGACATCTATCATTGGACATTTAGGTTGTTTCCATGTCCTGGCTATTGTAAATAGTGCTGCAATTAACACTGTGGTACATGTGTCCTTTTGAATTATGGTTTTCTCAGGGTATATGCCCAGTAATGGGATTACTGGGTACAGATGAACCTATTTGTAGGGCAGGAATAGAGATGTAGAGGAAGAGAACTGACATGTAGACACAGTAGGGGAAGGAGAGGATGGGACGAACTGGGAGATTAGGTTTGACATAGATACACGACCATGTGTAAAATAGCTAGCTAGTGGAAACCTGCTGTATAGCACAGCGAGCTCAGATCAGTGCTCTGTGATGACCTAGATGGGTGGGGGGAGGGGAGAATGGTGGTCCAAGAGGGAGTGGATATAGGTATACATATAGCTGATTCACTTCATTGTACAGAAGAAACTAACACAAAACTGTAAAGCAATTTTACTCCAATTAAAAAAAAAAAGAATTGAGGATGGTCTCAGAGACCTCTGAGATAACATTAAATGCACCCACATTTGAATTATAGGGGTCCCAGAAGAAGAGAAAAAGCAAGGGTCTGAGAAAATATTTGAAGAGGTTATAGTCGAAAACTTCCCTAACATGAAAAGGAAATAGCCACCCAAGTCCAGGAAGTACACATTCCCATACACAGTAAACACAAGGAGAAGCACACCAAGACACATATTAATCAAACTATCAAAAATTAAATGCAAAGAAAAAACATGAGCACAGATTCCTGTACACGTTAAACACAAGAAGCACACCAAGACACATATTAATCAAACTGTCAAAAATTAAATGCAAAGAAAAAACATTAAAAGCAGCAAGGGAAAAGCAACAAATAACATACAAAGGAATCCCCATAAGGTTATCAGCTGATTTTGCAGCAGAAACTCTGCAGGCCAGACGAGAGTGGCAGGATATATTTTAAATGATGAAAGAGAAAAACGTACAACCAAGATTACTCTAACCAGCAAGGATATCATTCAGATTCAATGGAGAAGTTAAAACCTTTACAGAGAAACAGAAGCTAAGAGAATTCAGCCCCATCAAACCAGTTCTACAACAAACACTAAAGGAACTTCTCTAAGTGGGAAACATGAGAGAAGAAAAGGACCTACAAAAACAAACCCAAAACAATTAAGAAAATGGTAATAGGAACATACCTATAGATAATTACCTTAAATGTGAATGGATTAAATGCTCCAACCAAAAGCCATAGACTAGCTGAATGGATACAAAAACAAGACCTGTATATATTCTGTCTACAAGAGACCCACTTCCGACCTAAGGACACATAAAGACTGAAAGTGAGGGGATGGAAAAAGATATTCCACGCAAATGAACTTCAAAAGAAAGCTGGAGTAGCAATACACAAATCAGACAAAATAGACTTTAAAATAAAGACTATTACAAGAGATAAGGAAGGATACTACATGTTGATCAAGTGATCAATCCAAGAAGAAGAAATAACAATTGTAAATATTTATGCACCCAATATAGAAGCACCTGAATACATAAGGCAAATGCTAACAGCCATAAAAGGGGAAGTTGACAGTAATATGATAATAGTATGGAACTTTAACACCCCACTCACACCAATGGACATATCATCCAAACAGAAAATAAATAAGGAAACACAAGCTTTAAGTGACACATTAGACCAGACGGACTTAACTGATACTTATAGGGCATTCCATCCAAAAACAACAGAATACACTTTCTTCTCAAGTGCACACGGAACATTCACCAGGATAGTTCACATCTTGGGTCACAAGTTAAGCCTATGTAAATTTAAAAAAATTTAAATCATATCAAGCATCTTTTCCGACCACAATGCTATAAGACTAGATATAAATTACAGAAAAAAATCTGTAAAAAACACAAACACATGGAGGCTAAACAACACACTACTCAATAACCAAGAGATCACTTAAGAAATCAAAGATGAAATCAAAAAATACCTAGAAAAAAATGACAATGGAAACAGGATGACCCAAAATCTGTGGGATGCAGCAAAAGCAGTTCTGAGAGGGAAGTTTCTAGCAATACAATCCTACCTCAAGAAGCAAGAAAAATCTCGAATAAACAACCTAACCTTACACCTAAAGCAATTAGAGAAAGAAGGAAAAAAAATACCCCAAAGTTAGCAGAAGGAAAAAAATCATAAAGATCAGATCAGAAATAAATGTAAAAGAAATGAA